TTCTCAGTTAATTCATTTTCCCGTACAGTAATGCATCAAACATAGCTATGTTATTTTCTGTAACGGGATATATTGGAAGTGGTAAAAGCGCGTTTGTCTTATTCTGTTTTGTTTAATTTACATGTTTTGTAACATGGGGAATGAGTACACTCTGCTAGCCCGTTTGAACAGCATTTTTTTTGTAGGCACTGTTCTTGTTAGCATGCATAACGACAACGTCAATTGCACGCCTGATGCTTCTATCCATACGCTTTATTTTGTTATGGTTGGTTTATTTAGGTTGATGATATTTATAATCCCTTTGCCTTTTATATTCTCTCATATAATTCTTTTACTTACACTTATACAACCATCAAGAGAAAATAATAGGAAGAAGCCCTCGAAACTAAGACAACCCCACTTAATTATTAAAACAAATTGTCCTGCAAACTTTGCCTAGCAGAGTCTACACAAGTTAAAAACTACTCAATAAGGTAATTATAAAGGTAACCATTGAGAGGCCTATATAGCATAGTTTTAAAAACCGGACCAGTCATCGAACCGGTTAAGGTACTAGGTCAGTGAGTTAAAGGTTGAACCGGTGGGTCATTAGTTAAACCGCATGACTCGATTTTTATTTACTTTTATTAAAAAATTATTCATATTAAATATATTTTATACTTATAAATTTTAATAAATTCATATCTTATTTTAAACTTTAATTTTTCTATCTTATTTAAAATTATTTTTATTTTTATTTTGTAAAAAAATACATAAAAAATTACATGTTAAACGGTATATTAATACAAATTAAAAATAGAAATAATATGTACATATATAATATGCTTATAATTAATATCACAAAATAATATATGTAATATTTACATAAATATTGCATTATTAAATATATAATTTAAAATTAATAATATACTATAAAAGTTATTTAAGTTGTATATATTGCAAACAAATATATTAGAACAAGTAGTCATTATTATATTTAATAAGACTCCTTGCTTTTCCATTAAGAGATTCAATTTTTTTTATTATTTTTTGTGGTTTATGGTCCCTTAAAATTTTTTTTTTAAAAAAAAATGTGGTTGAACCGGTTTGACCCATCGGTTCACCGGTTAAACCGGAAAATTGACCGGTTCAATCCGGTTTGAAACGGGTCGACTGCATAACCGATCCAACTTAAGATTCGGACCAGTTGGACCACAGGTTCCCGGTTCGACCTGCCGGTTCGGTCCGGTTTTTAATCACTGCTATATAGTATTGTAGTAACTCAATTTCGTCTGGAAAATATTTTGTTTCTTTCAAAAAATAATAGCAAAAAGATATATAAAAAAAAGAATAAAAAAGATAAAATATGGAGGCCAAATGGAACAGCTCAATTTTCATATTTTTATGGAGGGTAATTTAGTAATTTTCATGTGATATTAGTAGCCCAGAATGGTCGTTCCCAAACTGGAACGGGCCGTTCCAAACTACTAAAAATACCTATAAATTCTAGTCCGGAACGAGCCGTTCTAAGATTCTAAAAAGAACTATAAATTCTAGCCTAGAACGGGTTGTTCCCAAACGGAAATGGGATGTTCCAACCTTCCAAAATGACCTATAAATTCTATCCCAGAACGGGCCATTCCAACTTTCCCAAATGATCTATAAATTTTAACCCAGAACGGTCGTTTCAACCTTCCAAAAAACCTATAAATTCTAGTCCAGAATGGGCCGTTCTCAAACTGGAACAGACTGTTCCAAATATGGTCGTTGAGAGTAAAATTGCAACCCTATAATGGGCCGTTCCAGATTCAGAACGGGACGTTCCAGTCACTCTGAAAGTCTATAATAGCGACACCTTAGCCTTCCCAAAGGGCCACACACACAAACACATCTCTACTTTGGACTTTTTCTTCTTCTACACTCTCTGAAGACCAGAGAGAACCCAGAGGAAGAGACCAGCAAGCTACCACTTCGGAAGAGACCAGCAAGTTATCACTTCTTGAGCAAAGAATTGTGAGTATATTAAACTCACTTCTTTTTATTTTTTATTTTATGTTTATATTAGTAATATCTGTCATTAGTCCTTATTTAAATTCAAAATGTGATTAAATATCAAAATATAGTGTTACAATATTCAATATAAATACTTAAAGTTATTGTATCAAAAATTTTATTGGAGGAATGGTTAATTGGATGTGACATCTTTTTAACTTTTGAATTTAAAGTACAAGTTGTGACAACTTATCTTTAAATTTTTCCTAAAAAAAAAACAAAAATGTTCAACCAAAAAATCTTTTAAAATAATAATATCTATAGCAATAATTATAATTAAAATTTTATTGAATTGAATTAAAAATATAGCAATAATTATATTTTTAGGGTGAATAAGCTGAGACAATTCAAAAATCTTATAACAAAAAATAAAATTTAATTAAAAAATATTAACACAAATATTTTCTACAAAAAATTACGTGACTCTGATTCTTCATTATACATGGAGATACGTAGGAACAGGAAATGAATCTTGTTGAGCAAAAAAATAATAATATTATATTTTTTATAAATACATTAGTTAAATAAAATACATTTTTTTGTTACAGTTAATTTTAATTAATCTAGGATGAGATAAATATTTTATAAATAATTTGTTTAATTAATTAAAGATAATCGTCTTAAGACGAACGTTGTGAGGTGCTAATACTTTCTTCATACGTAATCGATTCTCGAACTCAAAAATCTGGTTTTCATAAATTATTTTCTATTTTATGATTTTTTTGATATTTTTTCGTAAAAAATAATATTGGTGACGGTTACTTATTTTTTAATATATTTTTGTCATCCCGGTTGCGAAAGGTATTTTTGTTCTTGAGGTCATTGCGACGTGTGGGAGTGATATGAAGCAACGTACCGATGGTTAGGGTGTATCTCTCTCGTTAATTCTTCACAATTGTTAATGGGTAATAATTGGGTTAGAATCGCGTAACATTCGTCTAGAGTTTATTTATAATCACTTAAAAAAATAATTTTTTATAAGTTAAAATTAATTTATATAAATTAAAGATATATTTTAGATAAATTAATATAAAAAACCTTAATACAATTCATGTATGAGTTAATTTTATTTTTTTTGAATTTTTTTTCCTTTCATAACTACGTAGACTTATAGATAAATTTATGTAATGAATCCCTAGTTATATATTAATACGGAGGAGAGAGTTATTTGTAAAATTAATTGTTTTTATAGCACATAGAAAAATATTAATATAATGAAGTTATGTTTGATAGAAAAAAATGAAATCATGACTTGATTTAATTTGACGGAGGAAACTTTATTTTATTTTTTTTAGCTAAAGTCGTGAAGGAGAACCTACTTTTAGGTAGGAGTGTTTTAAAAAAATGGTGGGAACTATCTAAATTGATATAAATAAAATATGAATATATAT